TGGACATGGAATAAATTGACATCAAAGATTATGAACTTCCTCTCATCCTAGGCTAACCCTTCATGGCGACTGCAGGTACAAAGATTGATGTCAAATCCGGTTTACTAACCATGACTGTGCAGGATATTACTATTGAGTTTCAGGTGTTCAAAGCTTTAAAAAAAAATCTTTGGGAGCTTATGATTGTTTTAATATTGACGTTGTGAATCATCTCGTCGAAAAGACTTTCATTAAGACAAGCATTGATGACCCTCTAGAAGTATGCATTACACAACATAGCATGGAGTTTGAAAATGAAGAAAACATAGCAGTTGAGGCAACACTCAATGCTGCAACCATTTACCCACCTAGATGGCAACCAAAGTTTGAAATTTTGCCTCCACAAACCAAAATTGTTTTGTCCATTGAGGAGCCTCCAAAGTTAGAATTGAAGCTTCTTCCTGATACGTTAAAGTATGCATTCTTAGGAGATTTTGAAACTCTTCCCGTCATTATTGCCTCTGATCTAAGTGCACGTGAAGAAGAAAAACTACTACGAGTACTAAAATAAAATAAGACAACCTTGGGATGGATAACTGCAGACATTAAAGAGATTAGCCCTTCTATGTGCATGCATAGAATACTACTTGAAAAGGAATCAAAGCCATCCATAGAAGCTCCAAGGCGTCTCAATTCTCACATGAAGATAGTGGTGCGTGCTGAAATTTTGAAATTGTTAGATGTTGGGGTCATATATTTGATCTCTGACAGTAAATGGGTGAGTGTAGTACATCAAAATGATTAGCTATTATTGTAGGAAAGAATGAAGAAAATGAGCTGATTCCTCGAAGAACAGTTACAGGTGGGAGTGTATTACTGATTGCAGAAGGTTCAATGATGCCACAAGAAAAGATCACTCCCCTTCTCCCTTGATTGATCAGATGCTCAAGAAACTTGCTGGAAATCAATATTACTGTTTTCTTGATGGTTATTCCAGTTACAACCAGATTACAATAGCTCCAGAAGATCAAGAAAAGACAACTTTCACATGCCCCTTTGGAACTTTTGCGTATAGATGAATGCCATTTAGATTATGCAATGCACCGGCGACTTTTCAAAGATACATGATGAGCTTTTTTTTTTGACATGGTGGGACTAATTATCAAGGTATTTATGGATGATTTTTCCATCCTGGGTTCTTCTTTTGATGAATGTCGCTATAATCTTACATTAGTGCTGAAACGTTGTCAAGAAACCAATTTGGTTTTGAATTGGGAGAAAAGTCACTTTCTAGTGAAGCAAGGCATTGTTTTAGGTCATGTTATTTCCTCCAAGGGCATCCAAGTGGATAAAGCTAAAATTTAATTGATCTCTAAGTTGCCAATTCCTACATCTATTAAAGGAATTCAATTGTTTCTTCGGCATGCGGGGTTCTATAGAAGGTTTATTAAAAACTTTTCAAAAACCACCAAGCCTTTATGTGATTTTTTGGTTAAAGTTGTTGTCTTTGATTTCAACGAGGAGTGCTTAAAATCATTTGAAATGTTGAAAAAAGAGCTAACACAAGCTCCCATCATGCAAGCTCCAAACTGGGATTTTTCGTTCGAATTGATATGCGATGCGTCTGACTATGTACTAGTTGCTATTTTAGGACAGTGGGTTAACAAGCTTCTCCACGTCATATATGTTAGTGTGAATCTGATTTTGCTGTGTTTGTTTTAGAATGCTAAACAGAAGCAAGAAAGCAAGCAAGCAGAAGAAGCTGAACCGAAAAAGTTTTCTTCTCTTTTTGTTCTCTCTCTACAAAAGTATTGCAGAGGAATAATCTTTGTACAGCACACACAATGCGCACTCACACTGCTTTACATTTAATTGATGGCCTTAGCTTTAGGACCACACAAAACACTACTTTTAATCTTAGTCACTCATCACCTAATTACATGGATCAAATACCACATGGCACTCATGGCCTTACATCATTTAACCTTACACTTGGCAGATATGCTCAAATGAATACACACATTAAAACTCATCTTATTTCTAATACTTAATCAGCTAGAGACTTATAATTCAACACTCCCCTTTAAGTCTTGAGCTGATTTCAATCCTAGCATGCTCCTGAGATAATTAAACCGATCTTTAGGCAGAGGTTTTGTGAAGATATCAGCAAGTTGTTCATTAGTTAGACAGTACACCAGATCAATGATGCCATCCTTCAGTGCATCCTTGATGAAATGATATCATCTGTTAATGTGTTTGGTCTTCTGATGGAACACAGAGTTCTTGGTGATTGCAATTGCTGAGGTGTTGTCACAGTGCACTGGAGTGGCTTCGGTTTGAAATTCTCCAAAGTCTTCAAGAACAAATCTCAACCAAATGGCTTGAGTAGTTGCTTCTGAAGCACTGATGTACTCTGCTTCTGCAGTGGAAAGAGCAACACAATTTTGCTTCACAGATGCCCAAGAGAATACTCCACTGCCAAAAGAGAAAGCATAACCAGAAGTACTTTTACTGTCCTCAATTGATCCACTCCAGTCACTATCACAGAACCCAATTAACATTGAGTTCTTGCCCTTCACATATTCCAGACCATAATCAAGTGTACCCTTAATGTATCTTAATACTCTTTTAGCAGTTCCAACATGCTTACTGGTAGGGCAGTGCATAAATCTGGCTAACAGACTGGATGCATACATAATATCAGGCCTGGTTGCAGTGAGATATAAGAGACTTCCCACCAAACTTCTGTATAATTCTTCACTTGCAGCACCATTTGCATCATCCATGGTTAACTTCTCAGTTGCAACCAATGGAGTAAGCACAGGTTTGCACTCTTTTAGACCAAATTTGTCTAACAAAGAGCTTGCATATTTCTTTTGGTGGATGAAAATGCTTGAAGTGGTCTGAATTATTCCCATTCCAAGAAAATGATATAGAAGACCCAAATCAGTCATCTCATACTTTCGTTTCATGTCTTCCTTGAATTCTTCAAGCATTCGTTTGTTGCTCCCAGTATAGATTATGTCATCCACATAGATCGACACAATCAAAATGCATTCCTCTTCTGTCTTGATGTACAGTGTTGGTTCACTTAAACTTCTTGTGAAACCACATTGTGAGAAATAGGTATCTATTTCTCCATACCAGGCCCGTGGTGCCTGTTTTAGGCCATACAAGGCTTTGTGAAGTTTATATACCCTGTCTTCCTCCCCTTTAGCTACAAAACCATCAGGCTGCTCCACATAAACCTCCTCCTCTAGAACACCATTCAAAAAAGCCGATTTGACATCAAGTTGATAGAGTTTCCAACTCTTTTGTGCAGCCAATGCTATAAGGGTTCTGATTGTATCTAAACGGGCAACAGGAGCAAAGGTCTCGTTGTAATCTATTCCTGGTTTCTGGGCATATCCCTTTGCAACAAGCCTTGCCTTGTTCTTTTGCACAGTTCCATCCAGGTTGAGCTTTGTTTTAAACACCCATTTTACTCCAATTATAGTCTTGTTACTTGGCCTGTCCACTAACTCCCAGGTTGCATTCTTTTCAATCATGGAGAGCTCATCCTTCATAGCATTCATCCAAGATTCATCCTTAGCTGCATCTTCATATTTCTCTGGTTCTATAATGCACAGATTACATTTAGCAAGTACATCATCCAGCCTTCTCCATTTTAATGGAGTATGATCAAATGCCTGAGTGTCACTCACACCTGCACTTGACTGTGAGTTGATCTGTGTATCATCAATACCACTTGAAACTTGAATGTCATTTTCTGTATTCTCACTTCTTGATGTATCAACAGAGTCAAACTCATAAGTAGGCAGTGACATATATCTTTTTGTGCTTCTTTCCCATTCCCAAGATGAGTTTTCATCGAACACAACATCTCTTGACAAAATCAGTCTCTTAGAAATTGGATCAAATACTCTATAGCCTTTCTTACACTTTGCATATCCAACAAAGACTCCTTTTATACTCTTGGGTTCTAGCTTGTGTCTTAGCTCAGATGGAGTATGGACATAACACACTGAGCCAAAAACCTTCAAGTGAGCAATACCTGGTTTCCTTTTGCTGTAAGCTTCAAATGGTGTTATACTATCCAGTGATTTGGTAGGACATCTGTTTAACAGATAAACAGCAGTATGCACAGCTTCTGCCCACATATAGTAAGGCATTCCTTTGTCATGAAGCATAGACTTGGCCATTTCAATAACCGTTCTGTTTTTTCTTTCAACCACTCCATTTTGCTGTGGAGTGTAAGAGAGAGACAGTTGCCTTTGGATTCCCTCTGTGTCACAGTATTGCTTGAATTCATTTGATAAGAACTCCCCTCCTCTATCACTCCTTACACATTTTACCTTCATTCCACTTTGCAACTCAGTCATGGCCTTGAATTTCTGAAAACAAATAAAAGCTTCAGATTTGAATCTAAGAAAATACACCCATGTCATCCTGGTTGCATCATCTACAAGCAACATGAAGTACTTGTTTCCTCCAGTAGACTCAATTCTCATCGGTCCACACAAATCTACATGAACCAATTCAAGTGAAGCACCAGCTCTTTGTGCTTGACCACTAGGAAACCTTTCTCTGTGTTGCTTACCATATTGGCAGCCTTCACACACTTTGTCATACTCATCTAGATATGGTAATCCATGAACCATGTCATTATCCTTCAATTTCTTGATTCCACCAAAGTGTAGGTGGCCTAATCTTCTGTGCCAAGTCAGAGAACAATGAGCAAAACTGGTCTTCAACACAAGTTGCTTCTCAGGCCTTAGAGATAGAGGATAGCACCTGTTTTCTTTCATTTTTACACAGATAATTTGACATTTCAGAGAAGGACCATCAAAAACAGTACACATATGTCCACCAAACACAAGATAATATCCGTGCTCATCCATTTGTCCTACACTTAATAGATTCTCTTTCAAACCAGGTAGGTACATGACTTCTCGAATGTATTTTCTTCCTCTGTTAGTCTCAATTTCCAGTGATCCCATTCCTGCCACATTAACTAACCCTCATGTTGGCATTTGAACTTTCCCTGCAACATTTGTATTCACATCAACAAGAAGATCAACATTTCCTGTCATATGATTACTGCAGCCACTATCTATGTACCAATCTCCATTAACCTTAGTCTCAGCAACTGCACAATTTGCATAAAACAAGTTCCCTGTTACTTCCATTTGACTTGCACAGTTTGCCTTTTGAACAGACTTTCCAACAGTACACTCTCTGGCCCAATGACCAAATCTATCACAGTTATGGCACTTGGATTTCCCCTTATACCTACATTCACCATAATGAAACTTTGAACACACCTTACATTGAGGTTTTACACTCTCTTGACCCATACCCTGTGAGGAAGTACTATTCTGTGCAACATTTGTGTATGATTTTTGCTGAAACTTTGGTTTTGACTCCCATTTCTTGCCCTTTTGATTCCAATTTCTCTGTGGTTTAAAAGTACTAGACTGAGCATAACTTCGATTCTGCCCTTTTGAACTAACAGTAAAAGAAGAAAATGCTCTCTCAGTTGCATCTGAGGAATGCAAATCAAACCTCTGCTCTTGACTCTTCAATATAGCTAATACCTCTTGCAGTTCAACAGATTCTAAACATTTGGTATTTTCTATCACTAAGCATATAGGATCATATATCTTAGTGAGACTGATTAATACCTTCTGTACTAGTCTCTCATTTGACATAGTCTCACCAAACGTTTTCATTTGATTTATCAGATCATTTAACCGAGTAAGATACCCAGTCAAGGATTCATCATCACGCATTCTAGTGTATTCGAATTCTCTTCTAAGATTCTGGAGTTTCACAGATCTTACCTGATCCCCACCGTGATATTCGCCATATAACAGATCCCATGCCATTTTTGCTGAGTCTGCGTTTGTGATTCGAGGGAAAATCTGGTCAGAGACTGCCTTTTGAATGATTCCGAGAGCTTTTGCATCTTTCATGAAGATTGCAGCTATTTTCTCATCATCGTCAGCATCAACATCTGTATCTTCATCAGTCTTAGCTTTCTTCTTCTTCGAATCAGAAACTGGAATCGCTTTTTCCACCAGGTTCCACAGTCCATATGACTTGAAAATGGTAACCATTTTGATTCTCCAGAACTCGTAGTTCTCACCGGAGAAGATCGGGGTCCTCACTTCAGCACTCCCAGATCCAGCCATCGTGAGCTTGTGTGAATCCAGAAAACACGTAGTTCTTAGATCACAGACAAGCTCCGGCAAACTTCACCGAGTCCAGAGACGATGATGTTTGAGCTCACAAAAACACGCCCAGATCTAATCGAAACAAGGCTCTGAGGCCATGTTAGTGTGAATCTGATTTTGCTGTGTTTGTTTTAGAATGCTAAACATAAGCAAGAAAGCAAGCAAGCAGAAGAAGCTGAACCGAAAAAGTTTTCTTCTCTTTTTGTTCTCTCTCTACAAAAGTATTGCAGAGGAATAATCTTTGTACAGCACACACAATGCGCACTCACACTGCTTTACATTTAATTGATGGCCTTAGCTTTAGGACCACACAAAACACTACTTTTAATCTTAGTCACTCATCACCTAATTACATGGATCAAATACCACATGGCACTCATGGCCTTACATCATTTAACCTTACACTTGGCAGATATGCTCAAATGAATACACACATTAAAACTCATCTTATTTCTAATACTTAATCAGCTAGAGACTTATACTTAAAACTCATCTTATGCTAGCAAGACTCTAAGCGATGCCCAATTAAACTACTCACAACGGAGAAAGAATTACTTGCAGTAGTCTTTGCTTTGGAGAAATGTCGGAGCTATTTGATTGGCTTTAAGGTGACTATATATATTCAGACCATGTTGCTCTTAAATATCTCTTACAAAAAAAAAAAAAAAAAAAAAACAATGCCAAGCCCAGACTTATAAGATGGGTATTATTGCTTCAAGAGTTTGATTTCGACATTAAGGATAAGAAAAGGTGCGAAAATGTGGTTACAGATCACTTGTCCAGATTAAGAAGTGCCAAAGTAGCAGATGCTGAGCTTCCAATCAATGATCACTTCCTTGATGAGCAACTCTTCTCTTTTCAAGAACTCTCATGGTATGCTGACATACTAAACAACTTGGCAAAGCAGTTTATGCCGGCGAAATGGTCAAAACAACAAAGAAAACAGTTTCTATCTACTGTGAAGCAGTACTATTGGGATGATCCCTATTTATTCAAGCATTGCCCAAATCAGATCATACGAAGGTGTGTGTCTCACTCTGAAGTTCATAGCATTCTAACTTTTTGTCATTCTCATACTTGTGGAGGCCACTTTGGTGCAAATAAGATAGCGTTAAAGGTATTACAAAGTGGATTCTATTGGCCTACGTTATTTAAAGATGCATATGCCTTTGTCATCGCTTGTGATAGGTGCCAAAGAATGGGGAATATTTCTTCTAGAACACAAACGCCATTAACCAACATTTTGGAATTTAAATTGTTTGATGTGGGGGAATCGATTTCATGGGCCCGTTTCCTACATGGCGGTAGATGATGTCTCTAAATGGGTGGAAGCAATGCCTACAAAAACCAACGATCATAGGGTTGTGTTAAACTTTTTGAAAGAGAACATCTTTACTCGATTTGGGACACCTGGAGCTATCCCTAGTGATGGTGGTTCTCACTTCATCAACAAGCCGTTTGAAGCTCTCATGAAGAAGTATAACATTACTCATAAATTTGCTACTCCATACCATCCTCAAACAAGCGGACAAGTTGAAGTTTTGAATAGAGAAATAAAACATATTTTCAAGAAGATGGTGAGTCAAAACCGCAAAGATTGGGCCAGTAAATTGAGCGATGCATGTTGGGCATGTCAAACGGCGTTTAAAACTCCCTTAGGCATGTCTCCTTATCGACTTGTCTTTAGGAAAGCATGTCATTTTGCCGGTGGAGATGGAACGTAAAGCATTTTGGGCTATTAAATTTTTGAATTTCGACATTCAAACAACAGGAAATTTGAGGAAGCTTCAATTGAACGAGTTGGATGAATGGAGGAATGAAGCTTAGGAGAATGCAAAAATCTATAAAGAGAAAACTGAAGCTGCCCATGACAAAGCCTTAATCCTAATCTTTCAAGCGAAACCAAAAATTTTTATTGTATAATTCAAGGCTTAGATTGTTTCCTGGGAAGCTTTGATTGAGATGGACTGGACCTTATCTCATTGTGCAAGCATATAGCAATCCAAGATATGAAGAGTGGTTTGACATTTAAGGTGAATGGCCATCGTTTAAAGCAATTGTTAAGCAAACATTGTACACAATATGTAAACAAATAATTCACTCGACACAATTTCACCCTCATTCATTTTTCCAAACAGGGTTTTATTAATTCGAGTTCAACTCATTCTAGGCTACACGCCTATTAATTACAACCCTTCTTTTGGAAAAGGAATACCCTTTGATTCTAATATGAATAAATTGTAACTTTGGGGATTTGGGTGTTTATTTGATTTTGTGACTGCATCTAGGTAGAGCCTTAGATTGCCTACGTATCCTCGTTGAGGGATCAAGTCACTCGTAGTTCCTTAGTATTTGGTACTTGTTTGGATTTGATGCCTTGTGCAGTTTTAGCTCATGCGGGCGAGGACTTTGAGCCATTGGAGGATTTGATGCCTTGTGCAGTTTTAGCTAGTGCGGGCAAGGACTTTAAGCCATTGGAGCATTTAATGCCTTGTGTAGTTTTAGCCCATGCAGACGAGGACTTTAAGCCTTTTGAGCATTTTAATGCCTTGTGCAATTTTAGCTCATGCAAACGAGGACTTTAAGCCGTTGGAGCATTTTGGTGCCTTGTGCAGTTTTAGCTTGTGCGGGCAAGGACTTTGAGCCATTGGAGCATTTGATGCCTTGTGCAGTTTTAGCTCGTGCATGAGAGGACTTTAAGCCATTGGAGCAATTGATGCCTTGTGCAGTTTTAGCTCGTGCGGGCGAGGACTTTGAACCATTGGAGTGTTTAATGCCTTATGCAGTTTTAGCTCGTGCAGGCGAGGACTTTGAGCCGTTGGAGTGGTTGATTCCTTGTGCAGTTTTAGCTCGTGCGGGCGAGGACTTTAAGCCATTAGAGCATGATGTGGCTTCGTGCCATTCGAATCTTGTTGCGGTTTCGTGCCATTTGATATTTGATACGGTCTCATGCCATTTGAGATTTTTCTTAGGCTTCGTGCCTTTTGGGATTTGATACGGCTTCTTGCCATTTGAGGCATCTTTGTGCCATTTGTAATTTGAATTGGCTTTATGTCATTTGAAGTTTGATGTGGCTTCGTGCCTTTTGAGCGGCTCTATTTTTATTAATGTGGCTTCATGCCTTTTGAGAGGCTCTATTTTTATTCACGGAGTCCACAAATATAAAGCTCACGTGAATACAAAATTGTTGTTTTACTTCAATCTCATATGGAGTAACATTCCCTAAAAAAACTAGGAACTTTGTTGCATAAGCAGCATCCATTAATTGGAAATCTGGGAACTTGTGCTTGAAGACTTCTCTTTTACTCTTTGTAGAATGTGTAATTACTTGATCAAAGTAGTAGGAGTGAATTTAGTTTATATAAACCAGGGATTCGTTTCGGTTTCAAGGTTGCGTCTAAAACTTGATATAATCCTTAACGGAATCAAACTGGCGTAGTTCGTAAGATATTTGATTTGGATTTGTATTCAAACTTTGGCAAAATGAGAAACCATTTGGATTTATTTAAAACCCATATATGACCTTTGGTAATTACCTAATAGGCCTTGTGAAATAGGAGTTTGATTTTGTCTTTTCCTTAAGTAGTTTAGGATTTGAAGACATAAGGTAAGACTCCTAGGCCCACGTGAGATGCACTTATCAATTCTTTCGTGCAAGAGTTTCTGGCAACAATATCTCTTCGATTGGTTGTTGAACAAACTATTTTGTAGTACTTTGAAAACAAGTGTTAATTCATGGCTCCAAAGGTGAGAATTGCCCTCCCTGAATTTTGTAGTGACGCACTCTCCATGTCTGCCATGCTTGATTGAGTTTTTGGTGCGTTAGTGTGTAATTATCACTCTGGCATTTCTATTTTCACATAAACAATTATTTGATTGGTCTTGAGAGTGGGCATTTGTACACCCTTTTTGTGTTCCCATTCATGTTTTGTTTTCGATATCTGCCATCCTTTCTCATTAACACTTGTACAAAGTGATGCTTTTCCCAAAATCTTTTGTAGCTTTGGTTTGTCTTCTAGTTCTTTGGGTGTTAATACGAAGGTTGCCATGTGAATGAGTTTCCCAATTAATTTGGGAAATTTGATAGCAAGCTTTTCCTTCTTTGTAAACTTGGGACAACTTTGAACTCTTTCAAATCCAACTTCACATGACAGAGAAGTAAATCCCCTTTAGCTGTTTATTTAGAGATTGGCAAGTTTCCTTTCTTTCCCTTTGTCTTGTAGCATCTGTCAGTCTTACTTCAATGCTTTTGGTCAATATTTTTGACCCATACTTTAACTTTCTTCTTTGGTAAAGTCCCATGCTTTGACTTTGGTCCATCTTTGAAATATGCAAACATCATCCCAATATATTTTGTTGGAACTTTATAAAGGGAGACATCATCTTTTCCAATTTCACTTTTTCCTTGGTCTCTTATCCCAAGTGAGTTTTCATAGGATTTTATGCAAAGGCCTTCTCCTTGTCTTGTACTCGTGAGTAGCAAAGAAAACAGAACAATTTCTTTCCTTTTGAGTTGCATTTTGTTATATGTTGATCCCTTCTTGTTTTTCTTCACAGAGACCAAGCATGGGTCAGTTTAAGGGGAACAAAAGTTGTATTTGACTTCTTTTCCTTTGTTCATTTGTCCATAAGTGCACCTATTTTCTCATTGGACTGCAAAGAATGACCTTGCATATAAGACTTGACTTTCTATGTCTGCTTCCTTGGCTTGATTTTTGACCGATAGCAATTAGAATGATCCCTTGTTGTCTTTCAAGTCTCCTTAACTTTGCCCAACATGATGACCATACGAATGACATTCATGTTACCTAGAAGACTTGCTGTCAATGTTCAGAGTCGAATGAAACTTTGCTCTTTCTTTATCCAAAACCTTTGATCGCCGTAACACTAGTTGCTCCTTTCCTTCTTGGCATGGACGGCAAGCATGGGTTACTTAGACTTGATTGGAACTTCACGGG